GTGTCATCGGGGGCAGGGGCGTCACTTGGCTCCAGGCCGCTGGCACGAAGTGATGCAGCATGCCCTGGTTTCGACGGCGTTAGTTGCCCCGGGACACGCAAGGTCGACAAGTTGTAATGGGCTGGTACGTCGAAGGAGCACCAGAGTTGCCGTAGGTGAGGGTTGTCACCTGGACATCCACATAACACGTCGCACCCGACCGCCGTCGCGGCGAGCAAAGACACAAACTTGTGGCAGCTCCATTCTTGGTCGTCGCCCCCAATGCACGCATGAGTGGTGTAGTTCCAACTTGATGTACCGGCGAGGTACCAATCCTTGAACGGGTAACGGAACGTCGAATTTGCTTGGGCTGTCTCGTCCACCAAGAAAAAGTTGCGAGGTGAGGATTCCGTCGGTGTCGTCGCCAGGCACGTCGTATTCGCCTTGTTGGCCCAAAATTCCACCGCCGCTGATTCCACTGCACTCCATTCAACATGCTGCAGACGCAGGGTTTCACGAATTAAGTTGATGTGGCGCACAAGCTTGGTCGCATCAAATGCTCCTGTGGGCAAGAGTTTGTCTGGTCGACAAACTCTGACACGATTGATGCCACGAGATGGCAGATACCTGTCGTCCTTTGGTTTTGCGCCACCACTTTCCTCGTCGTTGACGATCTCAACATGGCTGCTCGTTCGACTGTCGCGAGGTCGTTGGGCGACCACAACTTTGGACGGACTCGAGGTGGATGTACCATTAAGCGAGCCATTTCCGGGGTTCTCCCGTGGCGGTGACGTTGCGTTATTGGGAGGTAGAATTTTATTCTGGTTGCTTTGGTTGGACATTGGCAGTGCCGTCGGCAGTTGTGTGGCCTTGGTCGAATTGTTCCGATCGGTGGGTGCAGAGCTTGTCAAACCAGCCATGGTCCTTCCCATGATGATGACAACTGCAATCCCGACACCAGTGAGGGCCATGGCAGAGCACGTTATCCAGATCGTCCCCCGCTTCTTGCGCCGCCGGTCGACCTGTTGCCGATGTGAGTGACCGCTGTTGACGGCGCCGTTGTCATTCGAGTCCAATCTCTGAGGGTGACCAACGTGAGCATCCCACCACGCACGAAGCGTCGGGTCGAAGCTGGGCTGGGTCGACACGCTCGACAGCGGGCTGCCAAGACCTCGCTCCATTGTTCCCTCGCTTCCAGCAAGAAACTATGGTCTCCTACCCAGTAGCTTTTCGGCCAAGATGCTTGCTTCTTCCCAGAATCCAACTCCACGAGGTCAGCAATTTTTTCAAACAATCCATGTAGACCAAGACGGACCTATTCTGCGATGAGACCACAGGACAGTCCGTGGCCGCGATGATCGAGGAAAGCGCCGTCCACATCCCAACCGCTCGTCGAAATAGCTTTACTGCTCTGCTCGCGGCCGCTACCGGCTTCAACAGGGCACGTCCATCCGCGCACTCGGCGCCATTTGCTGTTCAAGTCGGCAAAAGACCAAGCTGACCCGGCCATTACAACAAGACATTTCGCCAGCTGTGGCGACGGTGCCGTCCCACCTCTCGTCCTCCAGTACGACAGCGAATCAGCCAGACGGAAAGCGATGAGGCGTCAATTGCCTTAGCCAAGTTCAAGTGGTGCGCAAAAAGCAGCATTGCAAACGACCGCTTAGTCTCCAATGCACTTGGTTACAGTAATTTTAGCTAGCCGGAAGGCGGGTGGGTAGCGTCGAGACGCGGCCGGCAAGGTATGCGAACAGGTAGAGAGGCGTCGTGGTGCCAGGTCGCGCCGGTGAGCGTGCGAAGGGAGTAGGATCGAACAGACTGGGAAACGTCGCGTCCTCGATCCCATGATGTGCAAGAAGCTTGTCATTGATTTGCACGCACGTGGAGAAACCTGTTCAAGAACGTGGACGCAGCGAGCTTCTGGACGCACACTTTTGTCGTCACGTCTGTCCAGGCGAGGTTGTGGTTGAGGCTTTGCAAGCTCTTGCGAAGGCCAGCATCTTCGTTCGCGTCATCCGCCCACTGCGTAAGGTAGGCGAGGCTGGACGTCATCACGCGCGTTCGTGGCTTGACCTGCTCCAACGAACAGATCAAAATGATCGAGTACTCTGTGTCTCTGGCAAGATTCGCCGCCAAGTCGGCCAAGGCTGCCATTTGGGTGCAACGGTTTGTGTCGGACGAAATATTTCCAGTCGCCCGTGCTGTCTGTCGTATATTGACGTTCATGCGCAGGAGAAGCTGCAGGAGATTCGTCACCCGATCCTTCGTTGCATGGGTGCCTCGAGGTGCATGGGAGGCCAAGTTGGCCAAGATATCGCACGCCACTTGCTCTTCCTTGCTAGATCCACTTGGACCGCCCTCAACGGTCTCGAGGCTAGTCTTCGGCAATAGCATGTCCCACAATTCGTCTAGTGCTGCGTGATTCAGTTGTGGCCGAGGCCAGTCCTTCCAAAGAGGAGTTAGACAGTGCCATGACATGGCAGGATATACCACATAGCACAGGTTACGCAGCGCTTCGAGGGCCATAAGCCGAAGGGAAACTTCTGGTACTGGCGTCGTGGCAGTCGAGTTCGTTTCGTCGCATTCTTGGTTGTCTTGCTTCGACGACGCATCTTGGGTAGAAAAGATGTCTCCTGTTGGCTGAACGAACTCGTCAAAGAGCAACTGAGGCAAGTTGGCCGAGCAAAATTGCGTCGCCATCGACGCTTCCAACGACGCATGGACAATACATACGAGAAGAAAGCGCACAAATTGTCGCAAACCCGTCTCCGACACGTCAAAGCCGAACGCTGTCGACCTTTTCCACTTGGACCGGGCTGCCGCTTGTTCGTTGCACAGTCGAACTAGGTGGTCGCCGAGGGCGGTGGCTCCGTCTGCGACAGCAAATTCAGCGCGTTCGTCTGCATTGAGGAGAAGCACACTTATGAGGGCTACAGATTGGTTCAAGTCGGCTTCCGACGCGGCACCACGGAAGGACCGAAGCTGGTCCGAGAGGTAGTACTTCACCATGGCGCTGGTGCCAACAGTCGCGAAAGATTGTTGATTAGATTGTTCACGTGCTGGATGAGCCAATCAATTAGCATAAATGCAACGTACTCCTCCCTGATTGGTCCATCTCGAATTGCAGAATTCTCTGGATTCGAAACTTCGCACGATAAAATTTTGTATCGCGCACGACAGGAGACCTCAATGGAGTCCGCGGCGGCGCCGTCGGCCGACACGTCAACAATCCTCAGCCGCATTATCAAGACAGCAACTGCGTCATTGTCGTCTTCCTCAATCGCGTCCCTCGTCGGCAGCGACTCCCGTTCAGCCACACCTACAACAACTCCTACGTCGATGGCAGCGAAACTCCCCCGACTCAAGGCTGGACGCTTGCTCCTCGAAGTTCAGGGCATGCAACGCAAATGGGAATCATACATCGTCGCTCTCGTTGGGACGGACGTGACTAATCTCACGCTCTACTACTACAAGGATGCCACAGGTACACGCAAACCGTAGCAACACTGCCGTTATCCAAACCGATAGACAAAATCCCCACGGGTATGATTCAACTGCATAGTGCCAGCGTCGACTTGATGGAAGAAGTTTTTTGCGTCATCACGCTGGAGCAGACATGGTACTTATGTGCTGATACTCCTCACGATGCCGAGGAGTGGGTCGATCTCATTTGCACCACACTGGAAGCTGCCGCGATGGACGCGCCATTTCCGACGACGACGCAAGTCGATTCTCCGTCGTTTCCAAGCGGTGGTCGACGGCGACGGCTGTCAAGCCACATCACAACCTCGACTGTCCTCGAGATTCAATCCCGCGACGCCAGCACTCGAGTCGATGAATTCATCGAGATTTTCGTGCGGTCGAATGAGACAGACATCCGCAGTCAAGCGGCGCGGGGGGCATTCTCGTGGTCGTGTCTGCGCAGCATCACGTGGCGGCTCTGGCTTGGCTGCTTGCCCATGGATGCACCGATCGGCAGCTGGACAGCGATCACGTCCGCCCACCGACAGCGTTATGAGTCGCTGCGGCACAAACACGTCCCCGAGGACTTGCCGGCAATCATTCAGCGCGAGGTACATATCCTGTCCATCGCGTTCGATGTCTGTTCGTCCCGAACCATACTCCATACTAGGACTTTGCGATGCATGACGACGCGGAAGTGGAAGACGGGTCGTCGACGGCGCGTCGAAACGACATGGTGCACGCCATCTACAAAGACGTGCGTCGGACGCGGTGCAACATGCAGTTCTTTCAAAGCGACCACATGCAACGCATGCTCGTGCACGTGCTGCTCGTGTACGCGGCGGAGCACCCTGCTGTGTCGTACAACCAGGTACTGACATGCGTGGTTGGCATTTGCAATGACGTGTGCAGGGAATGGGGGAGCTCTTGGCCGTCCTCGTGTACTTGCTGCACGTGGAGCGATGGCCCAACAGTGGCAGCGACCGCACCAGCCAAGTCGATGGTACGAGCGGACGTGATTCCATGAAAACATGATGGCATGATGGGATCGCATAGACATCGACAACGATGACGTGAGCAGCACGGTGGATGAGGGCGATGACGAAGGAGACGACGACTCGTATGTGCACGTCGACATGGTCGACGTTGGCAGGTCCATGCTGGGCTCGGACTCTGTGCTCGAGATGCGGCCGTTTGCAGCGTTGAAAGCCAAATGCACGTCGTACGTCCAACCGAGCCGTTGGAATGCTGGGGACGTCCTTGCCTCATGCTGCCTGCAGGACCTGCAAAGACACGGTCGCAGCGCTCCTGGCGACCCTCGCCGACAACTTTTTCCTCGAGCATGACACGTACGCGTTGTTTGAGCAAGTGATGAAGCGCATGGCACCGATGTTTTGCCCCCACGTTTCCTCTACGCCAGCCGCACGGGCGCCACCGACAGACCAACCATCCCCACCCTGCTCCCCACGCGATGACTTGTCTGCTCTGCAAGCGACATGCGACCGCATTCACAACGTCCTCCTGCATCGAGTCGATCCTGCCCTTGCTGCTCACCTCGACTCGTTCGACGTACCGCCCGAAGTGTACCTGCTGCGGTGGGTTCGCCTCCTCCTTGCTCGAGAATTCCCCATGTATCAAGTCTGGGTCATCTGGGATTCCATCTTCGGCCTTTCCCCGCATGACTTTGGCTTTGTCGATGTGTTGTGTGCTGCGATGCTCCACGACAGCCGCACGTTGCTCCTGGCCCAGGACGACACCACAGGCCTCCTCCATGCCCTCAAGGAGGTCGGGGAAAGCCACAGCAAACTTGTCGACAGCGCGAGAAAGATGTATACCCAGCAGCAACTCGCCCACGTGGCGGCGCACTTTGCACCGATGTAGCGCTCCTCGACTCGTTGTACGTGCACCGTTATGGGACTGTTAACCTATGGGAAGACACACACAGCTATGTTCATGTGCCGCCATGGGACATGGTGAATCACTTGGTGGCAATCACATCTTGTTCTGGTTCGATCTGCGCGGATCGGTGCGACGGAACGGCTTCTTCGGTTGGGGTCGAGCAGGTGCAGCCGCTGGTTTCGTGGTGTGCTCGACACCGAGTGCTTGGGGCACTTGGAGCAACTGGTCGAGCTTGTGGCGGTTGTAAAAGTGTCCATCCAAATCGATGAGGTAGAACCCTGGCTCGGTCCCGACCTTGACCGAAATGTACTTGTCCGAGATGGACGACGCGCGGAGTTGGGCGACAGGAATGTCCAGCGGCGCCGACAGACCCTACTCCCAACATGCCGCATGAGCAACGTGCGTGGTGCCGTGGAAGACGTACACCGAGAAACTTTTGCGTCGTCAGGCGGAGCTTACTGCCGCCGGAAATAACGGATATGCGCGCGATGGAGCGCTAGGGAAAATTGAGGACGACATGGCGACGTCTACGTACTTGGGCAAAGAACACAACGACTGCAGACATGATCACACTTGCCCCCAACCCGACAGATGACCAAGCTTCGTTCGTCACGATAGAGAGAAGGCTCGGGTCCAATGCCGGCGACGGGGTCGCCACGGGAGCCGCTGGAACGCAACAAGCACGTAATTCGATGGATCGGTTCATGGAGAGATGAGAATACCTGGGATCGTCGCTTCTGTGCCCTTGAGCCACGACCAGAACGCGATTTGAAGCAAGGACGCCGACGAGATCAAGGTAAAGTAGCGCTATTCGAGAGTGGTGGAATGGAATGCATGCTCGCGGACCTCCACGTACGTTGCGATTGTACTCGTACAAGACGTCACTCGGCACGACACTCGGATCACGTGGGTGGAATTCGTCGTTGTTGCCGAGCAGCTTGGGGCGGCGTGGAGCACTGCCACCTGTCGAGGAAGTCGCAAAGAAACGCTTCGTGCTCATTCCATCGACCTGCGACGACCATACTTGGATAGACGAGTAAGCGATACCCCTGTGGATTCGCTGGGCACGCGGCAGAAGCGAGTGCATCCGCAGAGGCTGCGCCACGAGTCGCGATCGACCCAACATCACCTTCACGTCGTTTTTGAAGTTGTGATGATGGAGTGGTGTTGCATTTTTTACCCGCCACCGGTTTGAAATTAAAGTTGGTACAAACACAAAGATATTTTTATCGTCTGTGGAGATTTTTAAAATACGTGAACTTTTTTCATCGGAATTTTGGACAATGGTCGTGCCGAATGCAAATCGCATCCCGCCGCGCGAACTGCCCCTGCAGAAGCCGTCTGCCGCGCATGCCTTCATGTACTAAGCCCCTCGTGAAACCTCGATAGTCAATGGAGTCTTGCCCATACTCCATGCTACCGCACGTAGTCCACGTGCATTGGTTCGATCCACGCAGTCGTCGTCGTCGCACGTGTGGATGCCCCCCAACGCCACGTCTGGTACCTCTCAGAACAGACGCGGCGACAAAGCGTACGTTGGCTGCATCCGCACGCGACTCACTTGGACATTGATCCGTGTATGATACAGGCTGCACAACACAACTCCGCAACCTGTGATGGACTTGCCTGTACAAGCGCTCTTGGCCGTTGAAGGCAAGGTTGTCTTCCACACATGGTCCATGCTCCTTCAACACACAACATTGTGCTAGGTGACGGAAGTCGAGTCAGAGGTGTTTCTATGAAGGATATCTACAATGAGTGAGCCATCCATGAAGCCCTCTTCGTGTGTTGGGTAGGTAAATGGTCTGCTTGACGACTTTCAGAGTGCCGCGGCCGTGTTTTCGGCGCAAATGCATGTGCAATCACGGTACCCGCGCGCGATACCGGCGCCATCCACGACTTATGTTCATGTGCTGCAACGACTAGTCTCTTGGAAGCTTGTCGCCGTGAACTGTCTGACCCACCAAGCGCGCGCCCTTCCTCATGACACAGTAGAGAGAATATCATGGGTTTCTTGCTTAATATACATCTGGAGGTCGAGGCGCGCAGCTCATGCTTCTTGCGTGATCCATTTGCTGGAGGTACACCTGCAACGAATAGTTGGATTGCTTGAGATGCTTGATTTCACGTTGCAAGTGGTCGATCTGTGCTTCCTGTGCCTCGGCTTTGTCTCTGTACCCTTCCAACGCGTGCACCGTGTGCCGCAGCGCCTGATTCTGACCCTCCATGGTGGCCAGCATCGATCGCAGTTGCGTGTTTTCTTGCGCCGTCAGGTGCGCTCGGTGGGCTTGATCGACCATCATTGCTTCGTAGTGCTCACGTAGGCAAACGGGATGGTCGTGCCCATCGCCAAATCCCCCTGCTTTGCTCCGGCCAAGACTGGTGGCCATGTCGCTGCCCAACTTCAGCGCACGCAAACTCTCCACCGCAGCGTCTACGTCCATCGATCCTTCCATCACCAAGGCTGTCGACGCCATCTCCGTCGCGCGCGTTGCTGCGACGACTCCACGAGAATTCAACTGCTCGTCGATGGGACATGGGATTGTCTTGACATTTGTATGCAAATCGGAATTCTTTGCAAGATTTAAAAATACACGGAGTTCGCTATACCTTCTTCCCGAATCGTGAATATTATTCCCTGTTCGCACTTCTGATTGGCGCATCCGGATCCAACTTGCTCTCGGACCTATTTTTGACGCTAACGCCGAAAGCGCCGCCGCGGCCATGAGCGCGGAATGGACCCACGACGGGGCCCCAAGCTCATGACTCCTCCATGCTTAGACAAATAATGCGGAACGGGGATTTGGTGTCATTTGATTACGATGCAGGAGCCACTGCTACCATCAATTGTGTCGTCCTGGCCAACCGACCTGACTTGGAGTTGTGGCACTTCATGTTGCAGCTCCGCGAGTTTCTTCTTGGTATAGAAACCTACTGCCACAAGGCCCAGCACCCCTGACCCGATGCCACAGCCCATAATCACGAACCGCTCTGTTTTTGCCTTCCCTTTCCCGGCAAACAACATGGCCACGTCCTTTGCTTGACTCCCGATGTAGCTCCAAAAGGCCGAATACGGAATGCCACACAGGACATTGGTCACGACAAACCGCATCGTCGACACGTCGAGCATGCTCAGCATGTAGCACTTGATAGTGAGCGGCATGTACGACATCTGGGCACAAAAGAGCAACTGCCAGCTGCTCGTCGCGTCGGCGGCAAACACGAGCGAGATCGCGTGGACGACGGGGTACTTTCTCATCCAGACGACGACGACGTCCCCGAGGAAGTACCGACCGAGCACAAACGCGAGGACACTGCCCATGGCCTTGCCGACGGTGGACACGGCTGCGCCGCCGAGGCAGCCGAAGAGAAAGCCGCAGAGCGCTTCGAGCACCGTAGACGGGATTCCGACCACGACCGACACACAAAAAATGCCCACCATCGCCACCACTCCCCATGCAAGATGATGCTAGAGCAAATCACGACGTTTGTCGCGGACGACACAGACCATGGTGCACGCACCTCGACCCAGACCGCAATTCCGTCCATGACGCGCCCGATGCGAGCGTATCGAATGGTTACAGCAATGGCCGC